ATCTCAAATTTTTGAGTTGTCAGTTTTCTTTCAAAGTAGCAAGATGTACTTATTTTAGATGTTACTTGTAATCATTTTGGGACTAGCCATGTATGTATGTATGTATGTATGTATGTATGTATGTATGTATGTACATATATATATACGGGTATTTTAAATATTTTATTTTGGTTGGAAATGTTTTTGGTTCTCAGAGTCAATATCAGTCACAAATTCATTATTTCATTATAATCATTTAGAACATCCAATGGAATCATTAGATATTCTAAATGATTACGATAGACCCCCCCTATAACGTGTGTTCCTATAACGGAGATTCCTATAACGTGGCGAAAAAATTGCGACAGTATTCACATAAAGACGCTAAAAGGGACTCATAAAATGTTGTCGCCGACTCGTGTCGCAACAGGATTGGTCGAATCTGGACCAATAGTGAACGAGCAGCCAAACTACTTTCTGCCGTCCAGTGCCACACTATGGAGAGTTTAGGAGGGTAAATTGAGTTTACTATCGTCTGTACAGTATTATATATAAATTATATATAAATTAGGTACTGTACATGTAATTATATATTAATTATATATAAATTAGGTAATGTATATATATTTATATATTAATTAATTTATTGTAACTTTATTATAATTATATATATACTTTCTGCCATCTAGCGCCACGCTACGGAGAGTTTAGGCAGGTAAGTTGAGTTTACTATCGTCTGTACAGTATGTAAATTAGATACCATAAGTCTAATACAGTACTGTAATTTTATACATTTCTTGTGAAAGAAGCATTTCTTATTCAACGGCCATTAAAATTATTTATATTAATGATATCTCGAAAGTTCAACGAATTTTTTGCAGAAAAATAACTTATCAGAAATTGCGGCCACCGTTTGGTGCGCTGCTCCGCGACGAAAACAAGCTTAAGCAATGGCGACGTCGAACGGTGCACACTTGGTAAGTAATCCTACAATTTTTTGTTTATAGCATAATTTATATGGATTATTCCCAAAAAATTATACGTGTTTTGGAAATGTTGAGTCGAATTAGTCTAGAATCGATTAATTTTATGGAAGAAAACCTTTCAAACAGCCGTAGTCCATAAACTTCGCACGTGTCGGGCTGCGATTGGCTCATGTATTTAAGGATTCCTACAATGTGAAATTCGTATAATGTGGAATGTATCTACGCGTTATAGGGGGGACTATTGTATATGAAATAAACAATGTAAAACCATAAATGCATAAAACCAAAAAATTAAAAATCAGAATGTAAATTATAAGGAGAAAATGCTGAAAGCAATGTTATGCAAAAGCTGTTAATATATTCACTAAATATGTAAGGTCTATGCTGTTAAAGATAGGCTTCCAACTATTATTGTCAGCCACCACATTGTTGATATTAATTGTTATATAAATTATATATTTATAAATAACATTTAATAGTATTCAAGTAAATAGAATTTCTAATTATATGATTATGAAGTAAAAATGTTAAATTGTTATAAATTTATAAATAATACAATCTTAAAATAAATATTCATTATGTATCTGAAAATCAAGAATTTTCTATATATATAAAATATAATACAGCATGATGACACATCATATAAAAACAATACAATATATTAGACAAAATTATTAAAGAATTAAAAACTTTTAATTAAAAACATTGCAATTTCTAACAAACTATAGTATGAATATGCTCTTTTTAGTATAAACAAACAAATTATATATTGAACATGGATTTAAAAAGAAAATATTTTTTTGATATTTGTATCAGAGTAAAGAATATTGATGCAAAATTCTAATGGCACAGTGTTGAGTTTGACATGGAGCCATAGCATTTCTTTATCTTAATCATCTGTATTCTCAATAAAGATAATTCACTACTCATCACACCGGATTTACTAAAAAATTGTGTACCAGAACCATTTACGGCAATGTTTCTCAATGGGGGTGATATCATGTTGAGGGGGCGATTTGTAACAATTTATATTTTGGGGGGCAAAAAACAATTTTCTGGGCGATACAGTAAAACATTATATTAAGAATAATTAGTTCTTTTATTCATTATATCGTACAATAATTAAACAAATAAAATTATATTAGTCAATAGTCTATTCAATGCAGTATGAATTTGGCATTAGCCTTGGCCCTTGGCATCAGAATTTTAAAGTGAACTATGTAATGGTTTTATTGTTGGGAGCGATACTACGTTGAAGGGGACAACAATTCGTTAGAGGTGTTGAGAAAACTGATTTACGGTGCGATCACATAAAAAGATTGCTAAACAAACATTTTCAAACCCCATCTGGGCTCTGCTTCAGGTTCCAAACAGATCGAACATCTATCTAGAAACTGTTTGAAACCTGAAGCAGAGCCCAGATGGGGTTCAAAAACGTTTGTTTAGCGATCTTTTTACGTGATCACACTGTAAATGGTTCTAGTACATAATTTTTTATCTGTATTCTCATGAAATATAAAAGAAAATGAAGATCACAGATCTATCAGAGCAGAGAACAGATGGTACATGACAAAACAGGTTTGAGTTAAAACTTCTGGCAATTTTTATTCAATGAGACTATGTTATATTGAAAACCTAATATACTGTGCACTGGACCTGCTGATAACTTCAAGTTAATGTGACAGAGTTAATACAGTTTTAGTTTAATGAGGTTTTACCATAATTTAATAAACAAACACATAGTATATTTTAAATTTTTAATTAATGATAATTTCTTATAAGGNTACAATACAAAATAACTAAAAATATAAAAGCAATTATTATAATTACTTGGAATAAAAGCTGACTAATATATAATCGATTTTTTATTACATCTCTACTCAGCAAATGAAAGTCAAATATAAAAATTTTAAAAATAATGTGATTATGCTATTCTGAATATTACAAAATTTGATTTTCTAAACGTTACGTTATATTCCAATTAGTTTCGTGTTTAATTCAGCAAACGTTTTAAGATTAAATTTTTTTTGAAAATGCTCTGAACTACATTAAATGTACTCAAGTACGTTTCACTTATCTTAGAAATAACACTGTGGATAGATTATGCGCATAATTACACAATGTATGCCTTGATATATCATACTACATACCTTCTATCTGTATTATTTTTTAGTATAAATGGAAAAGGCAAGGCTATTGTTAACTTAATTTTACTGTGTTTACGGTACTAATTAATAGATATGAGAACAAATGATGTACGAAATAAGAATGCAATTTCTAGAAAATTTGTATTAATAATATACAAAGACAAGGTCAAGGCTGAATAATTTAGGAAATTAAGGATAAATATCTATATCAAAACTAATGGCTTTAAAAATACAGTTAACTTGTGTTAATACAAATCACTAGGGAAACAGTAGTTAGTTTGCTTTATAGAAAATTTGTATTAATAATTTTCAAGGTCTAGGTCAAGGCTGTATAATTTAGGAAATTAAGGATTAATAAGCAATTGAAACCTGTAAATTATAATATTTTGAATTTATTTATTAAATAAAGTTAAATATAATTAAATTTATTTACAAAAATAAATTAATGATCTAAATGATTTTCAAATAACAATTTGTGTGTGGAGCAGTATACAAAGCCAAGATAAAAGAAATCCATGATTTGTTTTTCTATTTGAAAAAGTAGAAAATATTTTTTGAAGCCAAAAGAATAAAAAAGGAGCCAAATTTAGCACAGAGTAGCTAAACCTATCATCACTATATGCACCCCCGATATGCAAAATAGCATGTGTTTGCATGGAATCACATCCATTTAAATGGGTGATGTTCTCAAGCTTTAACTCCTATTTTCTGCATACAATAGAATGATCTGCTAAAACCAGATGTTTGAATTGTTCTACAATTGATGGTTGAACCCACCTTTGCTTACTAGGATAAAATTATTCTTCTCAAAATAGAACATTTATTACAGTACCAATTTGCTTTTTACACTTTTCAATGTAAACAATAAAATCATTATTGGAAATAGGGTTATTTCTTCCAATTGTGAGGTAATTTACAGTTCAGTTTAATAAATTCTGGTAAAATTTTTGTTCACTTTATCACATGAAAATTGACATAGTGACAACAGTGTTTTGCCAGGGAAACAGAAAAATTCACTTTAACACAAGAATTCACTTTATCAGTGTTTGTTTTAAGGTGAGGTCAACTGTACTTTTGAATAGCTTTTTGGAAATAGAATATGCATTAAAAAATTTTTTCTGAATATTATGTAATCAGTCTAGATCAGGGGTAGCCAACAGTTTTTGCCTCTGGGCCAGATTGGAAAGAAAACTTTTTCCACGGGCCGAACCAGAGGCTGCCTAGGAAGATTTTGAGGTGGTGTGAGATGTTGTGGGGTCACCCCGTAGAGATTGAATTGGAGATAGAGATTACAGATACATTTTTTACATTATCATGCTTTATCAACACACTACACTGTACTTAGGAGATTTGTAATGGAGGGTTAACTTTAAACACACGAGTGACTTTTTTTTTTTTTTTTTTAGGCATCAGAATTTTTCATTGAGCTATTCGGACTTCACAACCTAATATTGAAAGATTGATTGCGGGCCACATAAATTCATTAGACAGGCCGGATCTGGCCCACAGGCTGTATGTTGGCCATGCCAGGTCTAGATGAAGCCTTCAAAATGGAATAAAAATCAAACTCAAATATCTATTCTGATAATTATACAAAAGTTAATGCAAATTTAAGCAATGTCTCTTTTTTTTTCAAACTTTAATTATTTGAGTAGAGTCATGAAAAATTTTTGAATATTGTACAGACTGTAATAGATCTATTATTGATCCATCAAATTAATGCACTTTCAGATATCATTTTATTAATTTTTTAATATTAATTTGAATTTAAGTCTGATTATATGGAAATTCAAATATAATTTTTTATAATAATGTTTGAAATAAATTCATACTAAAGCATAAAAATTCCTGAAATGTTCTTACTTTAAAACTATATTATAAACTGTACCTTGAATAACATCAGCTGGATACACAAAGGCACTAGGTACAAATCCTTCTTGACCATCTGATCGCACAATCCAAAACCAATCAGGATCTTCACGATTTAAAACAGTCACAAATTCTCCTCTTTCTACACTCACATCATTTTCATCTCTTGCTATAAATGTATATAATACAACATATCTTCCTGCCGGATCTTTAAAAAATGGATGAACATCAGGCAAAGAAGTCTGAGACGATGAACTAGGATTCTGAAGATTATTATTTGATTTTGATTCTTGACCTCCTCCGTAACTTTCTGCATCAGAATGTTGGCCACTATCTGCAGACTGTGTTCCACGTGAAGAGGTTTGGTCCATTTCAGCTTCCCTCTCATTTCTTGGAAGTTTTTTGTGTTTTACATTTAATGCTAATTCAGCAAGATGGCTGCCAAAGGAAGCACAATATGAATGTGGAATGAAACCTTCATGATTGTTTTCGGCAATTACATATACCCAATCATTTTCCTGGTAAAGAACATTGACAGTCTGTCCACGTTTAACTTCTAGTTCATCATCCACACATGGTGTAAAATCATGTAGTACAACCATTTTTGAATCAGGAGATAATCCATTTTCTTTTTCAATTCCTACACGAACTAGAGTTTCAATGCTGGCACTTCCAGTTATTCGTCCAATGCTAGGAGTCCTACTGGAAAGTTTATCACCGTCTGCAGGAAATTATAAATTTTAAAATTCATTACTACTTTGTAATTAATATAAGAAACATAGTTAATAATTTTTATTTTTATTAAAAATAAGTTTCTTTAGGTGTTGAAATGAATAATATTAAAGCACAGTAAAGAAACATCTGTCAAAATCAATTTTTTTATCAATACAGGCAGTTCCCACTTTACAAATTTTTGAGTTTACAATAAAAATTTTTTGTTTTAAAAATATAGCCTTAGCTGCAATAAATACAGGCCAGACATTTTAAACACTATATTTCAAATTTTGGATGTAGCAATACTGTTTGCTGTGTATACATATGGTATACATAGCTGTCTAATAAATTTGGTCATGCTGATTTTCATCTTTGTTGTCATACTCTTTTCAAACTGCAGTTAAATAATAATCAAACAACGACAAAAAAAACCTTTAAAATGCAGCTTTTTATTAACTAATTGAACATTTTCAGCCATTTGAATGACCTTCCTCAGGAATAAAACTGAGGAAGATCATTCAAATGACCAAATGACAATAGTCAAAAACATTCAATTAGTTAATAAAGGCATTTTAAAGGTTTTTTTTGTCAATGTTTGACTTGTTATATCAATTAAATAAAAAACATGCTAAAAAGGGGATAAATATAAAATATACCAAAAATAATAATGTACAGATTTCAATTAATAATAATAATTAAAAAAAATCAACAAAAAGCAATAAGATTCGGAAAATAATTACTGTCTTGACTGTTTATGATTTCCTATTATCCTTTTTCATTTGTGTATTTCTGTAAAATGAAAAACTATCTGCATTTAATTGAGTTCTGTTCAAATATAATTACTGTACTTAGCATTTGAACTGTTGTTAAAAAGTAAAACTAAATCTCCATAATGAGAAAATGTTTGAGTTTTTTTAATAATTTGGAATAGTTTTATTTTCCCATGCAGGACAGGAAATGAATTAAAAACAAAATAATTCAATTTTTTAAGATCTAGCCTATTAATCATTAGCTTATTTTTGTGTAGGATACAATAGTAGAATGAATAGCTATAAATTATTATTACATTCTTATTTGAAATTTATCAGAATCAAATGTCCTAAAACAAATTAAACAACATTACAAAACTTTTGCTTATAATTATCATTATTTTACTTATAAGTTTGAATTTACTTACAGTTAAAAATAGACAACTGACAAAACAGGTAATGGTTATAAGATATATTGATCTTAAAAACATTAGCACAATAGTCAAAACTGATTTAAATTAACTCAATTACATAGGATGTTTACTTTTAATACATTAAATATTCATTTTAATTTTGTAGCAATTCCATAAACAGTACTATACTGTTGTTTAAATTTCAATTTCTGGTACTTGTTACTTAATTCTAGTTGCTAGCTATATGTTTGTTGTTGTTAAAGATTAATCTTCATTACCGTTTAATTAAAGTACTGCAATGTACAGTATTGCATCTCTTTGCATAATGGAAAAAAGAGAATAAAAATGCAAAGATTTATCTGTCAAAGATAAACTTGAAATTTTAAAATATTATGATAAGTTGCCAAAAATGAGTCAATGCAAAGCTGTTGTACAGATAAAAAGCTCATAGTAACAAGCAATCTTTTGAAAAACAGAGTGAATATTGAAATGTTAACAGGAAAATGAGAATATGATTTGTAAGAGAAATTGAAATGATGATGAAGTTTGAGACTTTGTTTACCTGATGAAACACAAAGATAGTCTGGATTTTCCAACAAATGCTCAGAAGTGAGAAGTTCTGAATACTTTGTCTTGGTGTACAATACAGATATGTTGTGTTTCAAAAATACTATGAATATTGAAATATTTCCAAAAACATATTTTAAAATGCTAGATTAACTACTGTACAAGTAATTATTATTATAATTAATAGACTTCCAAGTTAGTTATTAAATTTATTTTTAAACATTTGTAATTATTTTAAGATATTATTAAATTATCTGTTTAAATAAAACTAGAATCTACTAACTGTGGATCTAATTACATTCATCACAATGCTATCACTAAATTGTTGTCATTAAATTAGGCTAGTCCCAAAATGATTACAAGTAACATCTAAAATAAGTACATCTTGCTACTTTGAAAGAAAACTGACAACTCAAAAATTTGAGATTTTTATGTGGAAAAGTGTCAGAAACAACTCTTCTTTGAAATAATTATCTTTGACACTCATCCACAAAAACATACCACATTTTCATTATGGTTATGCAAAAAAATAAGAAATCTCAAATTTTTGAGATGTGATAGTTTTCTTCTAAATTGTAATTTTATATGTACAGTACTGTACATATACAATTATACAATAAATTTTGCCTATTATTTTTCAATTTAAATATATTTAAAAATGTACAGAATTAGTTAAATTAGTAAAATTGGTGATGCATCTGGAAAAAAAATTTAGCTATCACTATCAAAACATTGCCTAAATAAATCTTGTTAATCCATGTATAAAATGACAACTTATAAGTTTATCATATATATTAACAGATGTAGAAATAAAATTTTAATGTCACAATAAATTAAATATAACAAACTGATAAGTCCTGCTAATAAAAACAACTAAAATTAAAAATATAGCAATTATAATGCATCAATAATTGCAGATGAAATGATGTATGAATCACTTTTATTTTTATTATTATTATTATTTAATAATAATTAGTTAAGTGTACTAAAACTAAATAATTGAAATGTTGCAAGTAAAGAGCTGCCAAGTTAATTTTTATCCATATTCAAAAAGTATGTTTTAATTCTTGTATTATAGGAAATATTATTTGAGACAGAACAGAAACTAACAACTTTTCTGAAATATAAATAATGAAATAATTTATGAGTAATCTCATACAGACAAGTATGTCTGAGATAAGTACAGTGCACACATTCATTAATCTAAATACTGCTTAGTTTTTGCTAAATACACATTCAAATTTATTGGGAGAACAAACAAGTGTTCAAGTGTTCACTTGTTTGTTCTCCCAATAAATTTTCCAATCAAAAACAAAATTTTAAATCAATTTTTAAAAACAAAGAATTTTCAAAATTAGTATACAGTAATACCCCGAACTTACGCGATAGGTGGGACCAAGCGGTAACCGCGTAAGTCAAATTCGCATAAGTCGGAGTATAATTTCCCATATAATTTTTAATTGGGGCCGGAGACTAAAGAAAACAATAATTTAGAAAAAAATGTTTAATAAAATCTTAGATAATACATATGTGTAACAAATTAGGCCTATATTATTTTACAATTTTTCACATTTACTTGATTATTACGCCATAATTTTAACATTGTTTCCATCTCAGTGATAATACTGTGACGTTTACCAATGATGCTTGAATTTAAAGATTGAGCATTTTTCACAGCTTCGAGAATTTTTT